AATGTGGGTTTTCTAAAGGATGAAGGTTCTACAAGGCCTGCGCTTTATGAAAACAAAACAAAGCTCACCTTAAATCCTCATCTGTTAAAATATTATTAGCAACAGAAATCTCCATGATAGATTTAAAATTTATTTTCAACAACAATAATAAAATTTAAAACTTAAATAATGGTACAAATCTTGCAGATCTATGAATATGTATTTTTAGAGTGAAATGGATGACCTAGATAATTTATTACAATATATATTAGTTTTATAGTTTAAAATCTTAATTTTTTTCACAACCATAATGTTCGAGCTGAGATAATCGATATAAAGGTTTTGAAATACTTGAAATGTAGTTTTTGATAAGTTATGAAGCGAGGCTTTGCTTATTTTAATAGGGTTGTAGCCCACTCAAACCATTTTACCATTCCGTTTTCTAAATCAAGAGTCACAAAGTGGAAGCTTGCATTTCTAAGGCAGTTCTCCTATTCCAATATGACTAACCACAAAGTATTTTTGTAAGATCTATGAATGGTGGTGCTTGATACGTTATGGAAACTTTTAGTACATATTATTAAAGATATGGGTGTTGTTTGTATATAGCTAAGGCTTTAAACAATCAAAGTAAAGCATGCCTTTAAATAGTGTTGAGAAATGTGGTTTCAATATTAGAAATCTTTGTGATAGTCTTAAAATATATTTTCATCTTTAATTATAAAATTTAAAACTTTAAAAATAGTGTAGATCGAGCAGATCTATAAAAATTTAAAAATCTTGAAAATTGACGGTCTAAAAATGTGTTACAAGATGTACTATTTTCAAAACTTGAAATCTCTTTTTTTCTGATGTCCATACACCTTGATGTCGAGATGATCAATTAGATGATATTTGGACATCAAAACAACCTCGTCGAGATGATCAATTAGATGATATTTGGACATCAAAACAACCTCTTTTGATGAAATTTTTGTGATGGGCTCTAATTTCATTGTTTAGAGCCTTGGTTCTATATAAACTTTTGCCAAAAGGTATTGGGTTTACTCGAATTGGTTTTCACAAATTAATCTGTACCTCACGGTGACCCCTATGAAAATCTTGATACTCTACCTACTTGTGAGTCGTGTCTATGTATGATTCCTTAGAAAATGTTCAGTAAATAAAGTTTTGCATATTTACAACAATGGAATAACGGAAAATGTTTATGATCATCTGGGTTGATCATGGATTTCTACCTGTTGATTTCTTATTGTCTACAATATGAATCTATATCAAATTACAATAAATATGAAGATAAGCATCTAAGAAGGGTAAGGATTTTAAACTTTCTCTTAACATGTCCCACATCTGGATAAAAGAGGTGGATTGTATTAGGTAGACCGCTAATGTAAAACTTTTTCAAAATTTTCCATGAATCCTGAATCTATGTTTATGACCTTACTGAGGGTATGACTCTTGATAAAGAACAATGGCGAACTAGAATTCATGCAGCCATTTTCAAATAGTTGGAGAAAGGCACTAATGATGATGATGATGATGATGATGATGACGATGATGACGATACGCAAGAGGACCTAGTGATGTTTTTCCCGATGGTCATTCAAAAATAATCCTAAGCCCATAAATGTGCACTGTGCCTTATAAATGTATTTCTCCATTCCTATGTGTGGATAGTAGACTTAGGCTGTGTTTGATAGCCGTGTAAAGAGGGAAGTGTCCGACTTTTTCCTAATATTTTCATGTAAGAGAATTCTCTCATGCTGTTAGGTTTGAAAATATATTCACAGGAATTAGCTGCCACTTGATGTGAAAAGATGCACCAGGACCATCTGGTATGAAAAAGTGAAAAATATTTTCCAAAAAATATTTTCACTCAAACCAAACATGATAAGTGTTTGCTGAAAAAAAAAAAAACCATACAAGATAGCGATAAACACGGCAACCGAAGCTTTCCTTCCCATGTACTCTCCTACAACTTACGAGGGAAATTAGTTTAGGAACGGATGGTTCGGATTTAACAATAACTACAAGCCAAAAATCATAACCACTCGTCATGCCTGTGCCACATATAGGTAGGGCAGGGCCAAATCACACTTCTCGCTACGACAATTAAGAAAAACCCATCCTCCAAAAAAAATATATATATAGATATATATATAAAGGAAAATGTTGGGAACAACCAGATTTAATACACAACCCTGGTTACTAATCACTAATGAGCAAGCTTTTTATGTTTCCCTTACAGCATAAAACTTCTATGTCTCTTCTTATCCAACCATACCGTTAAGTCTAAATAGATGGCTTAGACCCCAATCACATTATCACCCTCTATACTATTTTATTTTTAATTTTTTATACAAAACATTTTAGCACCAAAAATTTTGCGTCCAATCCTCTCTTGAACTCGCACATATAAAAAATAAAAATAAAATTATTCTCAATAAAATAAAATAACTAAAATGCCCTTGAAAGTTTCGAGGGCATTTTGGTTATTGCATTTTATTAAAAATATTTTTTTAATATTTTATTTAGGTGCGTCCCATTGAAGTGATGCCACTTACCAAATTACCAAATTTCATGTCCATATAGTTCATAGAAAAAAATTAAAAATAAAATACTCTGAGTCATTGGATCTAATAGATTAAGTGATTAATAGCTCACTTGATCCAAATTAGACGGCTAAATGAAAGTGAAAGTATGCATCTTTTATGTTGTAAAGGAAGTATAGAAACCTTTCCCTTCACTAATTACCATTGAAAGAGCATGGATTGTTCCTCCAACAATCAAAATAGAGATAAAATGATACATGAGAACCAAGACGATTATATAAGGGTTTGCATAATAAGCCATCATTTTGGGGTATAAGCTAGGGGTCGCAACAAGGTGGGCCTGGCCAGGCCTCCCCTAGCCCTAGCCTTGTCCCCATAGGGCCGGCCTGGCGCTAACTAGGCTAAAGAGGCTCCGGCCTAACCTATCAAGGCCATAACGGGTCAAAAAAAAAATTGAAAATAAAACAAAAGAAAAGACAAAAAAAAAGAGGGCCGAGCCGACTATAGCCCAAGGTCCGGCCCAACCCTCTGGCAATGCTTGCCCGGCCCTCAGGCCATATTTTGTAGCCCAGGCCCTTGTTTGTAGAGCTGTGCTGGACTGGGTCACCCAGCCCATTGCCATAAACAATTTCCTAGCACTTTTACTATTACCACTTCCAACCAAACATCAAGCTTTTGTATACCATGCTACCATTTTTTGGCAGCATTTTCCAACAATCCCTTGCAGAAATGGACGGTGAGGGAGTAATGGAACCTTTTGGCAGATTGGGCTGGCAATGGGCCAAGCGCGACCCTCGAAACATAGGGCTTGGACTGCAAACCATGGCCTGAGCCCAGAGGGAGTAATGGAACCTTTTGGCAGATTGGGCTGGCAATGGGCCAAGCGCGACCCTCGAAACATAGGGCTTGGACTGCAAACCATGGCCTGAGGCCTGGGCTAGGGCCAGTTCCGGCCTGATTCACCCTAGCCAAGCCCTCCTTTTTCCTTCTTTTTTCTTCTAATTTTTTCTTCATTTGCTTTTGGCTCAGCACTACCAAGCTTGGGCCAACCCTATAGGAGATGGGGCCAGCCTGTTATTAGCAGACATTTAGGGCGGACGAAACACAACAAAACCAACTGTTCGTTGTTGAAATCAGACGGGTGGGACATAT